GCAGCTTTGGAAGAAGTTCAAGGGAGAAGAGAAGGCTCCTGAACATTTAGGCGCTAGTCGGGATTACAATGTTGACATGATGCCTAAGGTATCGTATCTGCTGTTCGTTTTATTTTTTTGCTCATTATACCAATGCCGCTTACTAACATTTGTTTGTCAATGTCATGGACTAGTTTATGATGGGAAATGGCAAGCTTGTTCGTGTTCTTATTCATACAGATGTTACAAAGTATCTGTCCTTTAAAGCAGTTGATGGAAGCTATGTTTTCGTCAAAGGAAAGGTACGAGCTTCTCATTGATGTGTAAGTTGCAAGTACTTACAAAATTATTTTACTGATAACTGTTTAACTTTTGATGAAAATTTCCACACAGGTTCAAAAAGTGCCAGTTACTCCTATGGAGGCCTTGAAATCTCCTCTCATGGGTATATTTGAGAAACGCCGAGCTGGCAAGTTTTTCAGCTATGTTCAGGACTATGACGAGAAGGACCCGAAAACACATAACGGAATGGATTTGACCAAAGTTACAACAAAGGAACTGATTGCGTAAGCTCTCATGCCTTCTAGCATTTATGATTTTACTGATATTCAATTAAGAAGATTATATGTGGCTAACCATTTCGATGACACTTTGGCAGGAAATTTGGTCTAGATGACAACACTATTGACTTTATTGGTCACGCAGTGGCACTTCACACGAATGATCAGCATCTCAATCAACCCGCCTTGGATACTGTCATGAGAATGAAGGTGAACTCTTGTCAGACTTGTCTCCCTTGTTTTAGTAGTTCTACATTTAGTTCTGAAGCAGCTATGTTGACATTCTTGCTTAATGGCTGGCTAGCTCTATGCGGAATCTCTTGCACGTTTCCAAGGAACCTCTCCATATATTTATCCTCTCTATGGGTTGGGAGAACTACCCCAGGTTTTTCTGTCATTTCGACCTTTGTCTTCGTTGCTTGAATTTTTCTGAAGTTATAGATGATTATTCTTTGACTCTTCTGTGACTTCTCTCTTTATTTCTTCTCCTTGTTCAGGCATTTGCACGACTTAGTGCTGTCTATGGTGGCACATATATGTTGAACAAACCTGAGTGCAAGGTATTTTCTCTTTGTATTTTTTTATTTTCTTGTGGTGCAATTCTGCAAGAGGGGGAAGGTGTGTGAGATTGTATTGTAGGGATGCTGTAACTCATATATAGCAACGTTAATCTTATGACAGGTAGAGTTTGACGAGGAAGGTAAGGTTACTGGTGTAACATCTGAGGGAGAGACTGCCAAATGCAAAAAGATTGTGTGTGACCCTTCCTACCTGCCGAACAAGGTAATATTGCAGTTCTTAGCATGTTTAAACCTTTGATTATGATTTAACCATCTCCATTCTTATCCACGAGAGCATGGCCATTATAAAGTAAGTAGCTTTTTGTGATGCATGTTAATTTTGCTGTTGGACCTATGGCTTATTCATTTTACTGGTTGACTTTCATAGTTTTTATATTCATTTACACATTTAGTTCTTCTTTTTGTGTGACAATCAGACTGTGGTCTTGTTCAGGATTTTTTTTGAAAATTCATTCCTTTGTTATTTATACATGGATGTGGAGAGTGTTTCATGATATGATGATTAATCACATTCAAACAGGTTAGGAAGATTGGCAGGGTTGCTCGGGCCATTGCTATTATGAGCCACCCTATTCCAAACACCAATGACTCTCACTCAGTGCAGGTCATCATACCTCAAAAGCAGTTGGCCCGCAAATCAGACATGTGAGTTCTTTCCAATAAGTTCGTCATGTGTGAAAATACAGCGATGCTTAGTTCATCATTTCTAATCATCTCTTTTTTGTTGTTTGCTGGGTCTGTTAGGTATGTCTTCTGTTGTTCGTACTCCCACAACGTTGCTCCCAAGGGAAAATTCATCGCATTTGTGTCTACAGATGCAGAGACTGATAACCCTCAAACCGAACTTAAGGCTGGAATTGATCTTTTGGGCCCTGTTGATGAGATATTCTTCGACATGTATGATAGATACGAGCCTGTCAACGAGCCCGCTTTGGACAACTGCTTTATATCAACGGTGAGCGAGACCCATCTTTAGTTTCCATCAGTTGCCTACTTTTAAGTTTTGGATGTCTTCAAAGTTTCTTATACCCTTGCCTTGGTCGTCATTACAACAGAGCTATGATGCTACAACACACTTCGAGACAACTGTTGCGGATGTGCTGAACATGTATACCCTAATCACCGGAAAGGTAAATGTTCCGAAATTTGCAACTGGACTTAAGTGTTGGACATGTTGGGTTTCCTTAATTTCTTTCACTTAAATTTTGAGTTTTTTTTCTTCTGATGTTGCAGCAACTGGACCTCAGTGTCGATCTGAGTGCGGCAAGCGCTGCAGAGGAATGAGGAACTGGCGGA